AATAAAACAATTAACTTCTATTGAAGACAACTTTAATTTACGCCCAAAAGAAAATTATATGAAACCTAAAATAACGCAAGAAGATTTTTTTTTGTTTATTGTTGGAACAAAATCAACACCAGTTAAAGATGTATCTGATCGATTTAATCAATTAGATTCATTATAGACATTTCGTTAGATAATGTTTCTATTCGTTTCTATTAATTTATATATTACCTTGTCAATACTATGATTCTTGTGTTAGTTTTTTTTCGCGATTTCATTTTAATTTAATCGAAATAAATTTATTTTCGATGTTTATTCACACGATATATTTGCAAAGTATATTCCGAATACTCTATTAAATTTTCTTATAAGACAAAACATGAATTTGGTTCAAATCTTTATTCAATTTAGTACAATTCGATTGTCATTATGAATTGTCTTTCATGTTTTAATATGAGATTCTTTCATGTCAATTCTTGATTTAGTAAAGAAAAAAAAGTTATTTTTTTCTCTACATCCGATGTTGTACAACAATAGCATAAGAGTAAATTATCAAATGATAATATAACTAACTAATGTTTATGCTGTGGCGAAGTCATGGCATGACGTAAGAAAATTGGACTTTGGTCAAATTTCGATTTACTCGGACAAGATTAGAATTTCAATATGGACCATGATTTCGTAGGTCACAATTGTAATTTCAATTCTCTCTCGATACAGAGATAATTAGGATTTTAGTATAGATAAATTCATAGAGTAACATGCTTCACTAAAACTAGAACGGAACTAAAAACAAAAAGAAAAAATTTTAGTCATAGTAGTCGTGTCTCGTCAATAAGCAACATAAATAGATCCTATGAAGTGAACCAAAAAGACATGAACTCAAATCGACAAATATCGATGCAATACGTTTAAGTTTCCGTTGACATGATATACCTTGTCGACATGAAATGACGCATTTCCTTCTTCTTACATATCGTTTAACAATAAAACGAAGCTGAAAAAAAACTATTAGACTTACGGGGAGCAGCTCATTGTTGTTATTTTTTCTTTCTGAGAAAAGAAAAACAAATGACAGAGGTAGAGTATTTAGTAATGAAATCGATCTCTTGTCAACATTAAGGCTTTTACTTTCTGCATGATAATGAACATAGACATGAAAAAAATGCATTATGAAAAGGTAATTTTCATCGGAAAAAAAATTATTTTGCATGATTATAATCGTATACGAAAAAAAAATGAAAAGCAAACAGAATTTCGAACATTTCGATAGAAGAATAGAAATCATAGTTCATTCAAATCTCTGATTAACAAAGTTTAATCTTGTGCATTGTTTAAAATGACTCACAAAAGCGCAAATTAAACTGTTTTTATCAAACTAGTTTTTTATTAGTTGCTCAGCATTTTTCTTAATATTATTATTATGTTATTAGCTTTATTTTCTGACAATGATGACCGCAGTGAAAATATAACGAATATTGAGTTTAGGTATGATTGTAAGTCTGTATACCAAAAAATAGAAATAGATGAACTTCTAAAACAGAAGCCAGATGTTCAGAAAAAATCTTTGAAAACGTTTTATGCTACACATATCCCAAATGAATCCTTTGGTATGGGATAGATGACTGGTTAAATTTTTCCAGAAGTTTCACAATGCTTCAGCAATATTTTTCCTTGACGGTCGCACGTTGATATTCAGAAGAAAAAGCTGTCTCACAGAGAAGATCCACCTCATTTTATTGTCATAGCATATGTATTTTATTTTGATAGATTACGGCTTTTAATTAGTTTTATTGTGAGAAGAATCAACATAGAAATAATCAAGAATAGTGAATATAATAGTAACATCGATAGAGGTGATAGAAAATAAGCACGAAGAAAACAAAACAAGATTGTTTAAAGTGGAAAGAAGAAACGATAAAATGGTTTATTTCAACTGCGGAGAATCATTTGCTATGTTTTCTGTTAAGAATTGTATTCATCACAGTAGATGTTTATAAAAATGTTGAGATTAGTGATCATTCATTTTATATTAATTAAAGGGTCTCATTAAAGAAAAAAAGTATGGACCTTGATTTCAGTATTCTTATTCGGTTATAAAAATATAGTTGCTATAATTAAGGTATGCGTATTCAAATTTCGATTTTATACAGGGAATAAAATTGAATTTCTGTTATTTCAAAAGATCAAACATTTTCTAACTAGCAAAAATTCAACAAATCAATCATAAAAGTTTGAAAACCGTATTACTTATTTATTACAGTGTATGCTTTAAAAACTGCAAACTGTTATAATCATATTTCGAATTTGTTTCTACCAGAGACAAGAGTCAGGTACCGGTAGCTTTGGTATCCATTTAGAATCAAACAGTGGTGGAAGATTTTGTTCAAAATAAGTGGGTCCTTGTCGAGCATAGGGTCCCATAGATAACGGTAATGTTATAAGAAGAAAGCAATGTGTTAAAAACCATCCCAGAAGTGCTGGTAGTCGAATAGCCATGCGTTTTTCTATGCAACAAGCAACACCATTCAAAAAGAAGAAGGCAAACGTTGGAATAATGGTCCGTGTATCATTTAAAAGCACAAGATTAACATGCACGTGAAGTAATCCACTGACGATGAATGTTGTCATAGCTGCCAGCATCGGCGAAGATAAACATGCATTAATAGGTTGGAATATACATTCATTGAAAACAGTACTGGCTAAACGATTGTAACGTCGACCCCAAAATTCACGTAATGATTTGCTAAATAGAGGATAATTACTGATTGAAAAAAGCGTATATTTATCTCGAGTGATAAGTCGAACGAAACCCATTTGAATATCTGAAATGTGCGAACTTGTTAATATCATGATTGACAGCATCATTATCCTTGAATAATTATCGCTCGGTTCACAACGAATAAGCCATCGAAAAATCCATTGATTGATGATTAATTTCACAAGTCCTGAAATAAAATCAAAAATGATTGGCCATTGTTTCTTCATCTTTGCAGATGGAATAACAGGAAAAATTGTCCAGAATGGTTTGAAAATGAATGAATAGAGAGGACAGTCTTCATTGGGTGAAAATACTATCGATTGAATAATACGTATGGACACCATCCAACAGGCTGACGTAGTGATAAGTGATGACATTTGATACTGCGGAAGATTGTGACAACTAATGTAAGTAAGTAATACGCATGGTAATAACGTTAAAACCATTCGAACCATATCGTTCGGAATACGACGTATAATGTAATGGCATGTTATGAAATGTATAAACCAACCGATGGGAACAACTATTTGAGATGACATTATAAGACAACTGATAATATCGATTTATGTTTCGAAGAGATAAATAATATCAATATAGTTGGTGCACTAGCGCTTTTTATACTACGTTGACTAAGAGAAAAGACAAAAAAACAACAAGTTTTTCCTTCTTCTCGGTCCTCACTCTATGACATTCTAAAACGCTTATATCAGTATGCGGAGTACATCTACACAGGTGAAAGAAGCTCCATATATGGTATGATGCCTAACATTCATGATTCATGCTTTCTATAGCAGATTTGAAAGTGGCTAATGGAATTTGATCAAAATTTCGGCCAATGGACTTTTTTAGACGAAGATATATCAAAAGATTCAGGATTTAATTCTGATCTGAATCCTATAATTCTGTTTTGGGGCAAGTTTTTCAGAGGCCTGCTTGAGACAAATTACTTTTCGATGGTGCTGACCTCTATATATTTTTTGTTGGCATAACAAAAACATATCAACTGGTTTGAAGGTGTTGGTGGGTGTGGATGTGGGGGTAAGCTGTGGGTGTGGCCTAAAATATTCGTCTTCCAATAGCTACACTCATATCCACACCCAACTGTATCAGCAAGTGTTTTGTTTTATTAGAGACCATTATTGAATTTGCCATCCTTATTAGGAAAACGGCCCTTAATCATGATGAAATGGATTACTTGTTCTAGGCAACTAATTTGTTTATTACTTTCCTTTATAGAAAGTCACATTTTTCTCGCCATTATTAGAGACACTTGCATTAGTTCTAAAAGTTACAGAAGATAGTTTACAACTGTCTGATGATTCAAAGTACTGCTTAAATAAATAGAGAATAAAACATGAGAGCGCAATAACCGTGCAAGAAAGTTAAAACATCAGTATTCTTTTCCTCCTTGGTAATGAAAATATTCATAGTTTTGCGAATCTTCGAATCCAAATTGTTCTACTAACCATCATCACTTTTTATATTTCTTATATGATCATGATAAATTTCCATCGTTTCTGCTTCGAAACATCAGTGGTTTAGGACAAAGGAAGAGTCATTTTATTTCTCGCTGTAATATATTACTATTAGACGACGTTTGGTTCTCGTAAAATTCATTGATCTGATAATGCAGTATCAGGCAATCTGATTTTTTCGAAGATCTACGTAATAAAAGTAGCGTATTATTAGTCCAAGTAGTCAAAAACAAATGAACATTCTTAATGAGATCACTCGAATCAAACTTTCTTCTACAGATTAGATTGCGAATCTCCTCATTTCTGAAGTGAATAACATTGAAGTCCAAGTTCAAATCGTTGCTCGTCGAAATGCTCAATATTCTTCCGAGTAAACATGTGTTTAGACTCGACGATCCACAATATTTTCTGTTGAACTTTGAATTATTTATAAAAAATTTCGAAATATAATAAAGAAAATTTTGATTTTTTTCGATCAAAATGTGAGAATAATCAGCACCGCGCAATGTTTGCAAAATCGATTCGCAACCCTTTTTCTTCTGTTTACATTCGATCTGAATTCGATGCTTAGAATGCATCATGTGCACCAAATTCATTCTGAATCGTATCGTTTTTCTTTTTTTCAAAGCCAAAGTTTTATTTAAAATAAACAAGAAAGAAGTAACATAAGCGCAGAAAAAAAATCGATTTTATTCATGGTCACTTCAGACACACATACATCAAACAGGCAGTAAACAGTTTTTCTTTACTGCAACATTACGTTCATCACGTACGTGACAATGGCAAAAGATGGTAGATATCGTTCGATGATGTATTTTTCTAATAGATATCATATTTTCAGAGTCGACATTGCAAAAATCGCATTGGAACAAAGTGAGAGGCGTCGTGCATGTCACTGAAGCCTTCAAGAAGACAAGAACAGGTAATGATTTAATATAAAAAGACTCAAGGCAGCATTCAAAAGGCGACTAAAACAGTTCTAAACCAGAGACTTTTCTCTATGAAACTACCTATCGACTTGCGAATAGAACGGCAGGTCAACAGACTGGTTCAAGTGCACACTGAAGTAATCTACTATGAAGTTTCATTTTTCACTTAATATTTATTTGTACTTAGGAGTTGTATGAATACTGATGCCATAACGCGATTGTTATAGTAAAAGCTATCCACTTTCTTTTCTTAAATCTTTTATGTATTTTTTAAAAGGTCCGAACAAAATATATCGGATAAATATTACAAATGTTCTTTGTTTGGGATCTCGTTCGCAATGAATTTGAAACCATGAATTTATTTTTTTCTATTTAGACGGAAAGTCGGACGAGAGACTACATATTCGATTAGAACGAGCTTTGAAAAATTTCGGACTCAATGACAATGCGGGTATTGTGCTGGAAAATAATCCAAGGGAATACAACGTTATCCTTGCCGGACCACCACGTGGTGGAAAATCAACACTGATCGGTGCTTTATGTGGTCGAGGACTCAATGCAACAAATATACGCCTAGCTTCCCGTCAAAAAGCTGTTAGCTGCTTTGTTAAAACCGATCAACGTAAAGGTCTTCCTCATACTGTCACATTTTGGTGTACAGTCGGTTTGGACCCTTGGACTAAGGATTCCGTTAAATCTTACATACATGACATCGTTCAATATCACGCTCCAATTTTTCTTCTCTTTTGTGCTAGTCCAATTACTTTCGTCGAAAAGGAACATTTAAGCTGGTTGATTGAAAGTTGTATTGAAGAGAACATCTTTTGTGCCCTTGTTTGTACTGACATTTATGCTCAAACTCGACGGAATACTACTTCACAAACTTTCAAAGATATACTGCAACGATGGTCGGCCAACGGTTGTTCTTTAATACCAATAACTATTGATTCAGCGAAACCGTATGCATCGTCGATTACATTATTTAATCACAGTAAAACGAATCAACCAATGGCACTCACCTGTCAGGTAAATAGTATTGAATATGTCAATGATTCGAATCGAAAACCTCCATCTGGCGTGTTCGAACTCATCCTAGCTCTCATGGATTTGTTACCGGATGACAAAATAAACGAAATGATTTATATGGTATTGAATAATCGACCATTTTGGACCTATGTTGGTGAGACTTTTTCTAGTGTTTGGAATGAAAAGTTTCTTTCCAATTTCCGTCATTGGTACGAAACTCATAGTTGATTCTTGCATCGTACTTTCCTCGAACTTTTTATTGGCTCTACAAGTTCTTTCGTTTTTCCATCCGTTTAACACAATACGATTAATATTTTAGCTTTCCATTAGTTGATACGAATTTAACAAAAGACTATTCTGACAAAAATAAATTAATTATCCTATTTTAACTACGTTTTGAATATAATAAAGGCACCATTTCATCTGATGTCTATCATGTTTAAATAAAATCGTTGCTAGTAACATTTTATACAGTTCTAACTTTCTATTGTGTCTGGATATCATAAGCTTGGAATAAATATGTCGGAAACGATGGACAGAAAAATTCAATATTTGCAGCAAGTGTCTCATCCGTATTTTCGAACAATAAGATATTCTCACTCCCTAAATTTCACAAACAATGATTGTTGGCTACAGATCTTCATATTCAAAACTTTTCATATGGACAATACGTGTCTTGACTTAAACACTGGGTACTCAAAGAATGGTGGTGCCTTGATTTATAAGTTATGTATATTTTCTTCGATCTTGCAGAAAACGATACTTTCATCGCAGAGCTCCTTGTCGTTCGTTCATTCTGATTCGTTTACTTTCCTTCTTTCTTTCTCTTCAACTATACTTGCTTCGACACAGATCAACTTACATCAATTTCGTTCGTTTGATGACAATCATCGCCGAACTTCATTTTCCAGTGTTTGCCTTTTCTCTTTTCATCAATCTGGCGTTTATATTCGTTCCGTCTGTGTGTTTATATTTCTTCTCTGTTACAGAATAACTACTCACGAGATTTACAATCATCAATTTAGTCTAACTCCTATTTTGTTACTGTACGGGTGGTACCACTTTTGAGTCGAACATCCTTGACGATGCGCTTGGCGGATGTGGGCATGAGGCAAGTATCGATCGCTACAAGACCTACCCCTATACTCAGATTCCATATCTAATGAAAACAACGAGATAATTTTTTTAGAACCTGCTGTGCATAATAGAAATCCTTGAATTTCAATCCATGTGTGACATCATAGTTGTATCAATCGATTATGTTCTAAAAGCAGGTGTAGAATACAGTCAAATCATTGAAGGACATAGCAGAGTTCATCATATGAAAGATATAGAGAACAAACAAATTCGATATTCAATCAAATTTGCTCGTCGGAGGCCTCTACACAGCTCACAGTTGATCATGAGTTCAGATTTAATAGATTTATTTCAAAGTCTAAATAAGACAAAATCATAAAGAACAATATTTTGCTCAAAAATTCGTCTTTTGTTCGATAATTTCGGTATTATAGTAGTTCGCTCCGGAAGATGACACGCGACGTACAAAATCTCGAATTGGTACGAGAAGACTAGAGGATGAAGTTGACGATGATGGTTCCGGCTTTTTGAAATCAAACACTTTGACCAATTGCAAACTGTTTCGAGCGAGTGGAGTCGATGACAGTCTTCTTTTTGAACCATCAGTTACTTGAACGTCGATATTCATACGAAGAGAATCAATTTTTTTACTGATTGACGTCAGTTCAGATTTGACATATTTGAACGATGCATTGTCGTGCTGATTCATCGACGCAATGAGCTTATCAAGATCACTAAGACGG